TTTGAAGAATTTTGACCAGTTGTTTTGCTGAATATCCTTCAGTTTTGGTTTGTCTGATGTTTTCTCATAATTCGACTGAAGTTAGGTGTTTTGGCCAGCACAGAAATGTTGTGTTTTTCTCAGTGCATCATATCATGGGATCCATAATGTTGATATGTCTCATTACTGGTGATATTGACCTCTATCAGGTGGTTCTGCAGGATATTTTTACTGTAAAATTTCTATCATTGCCTTTGTAGTTAATACATATATTGGATTTTGAGACTAGGTAGGTCTTGTTTGCTCTAAAGCTTTTACTCACTAATTTTAGCATCCAATACTGAATCTTGTCTACAACAATTATTACTGATGTATGATCTCTTTCTTATTTTATTTTTCCCTTTGCCTTAAATATCTATCCCTACTTTTTCCTCATGGCCAATTTCTACTCATCCTGCACCTCTCAGTTCCAAATTATTTCATTGTTTCTCCTCTGTGAAACCTTTCCAGATTGTCCCCTGCAGATGAAGAATTCCCTTCTCCCCACTTCCTGTATAGCTTCACAATACACATCACCATGTTTATTGGCTGTTTTTGTTTTCCTGTGAATCACCCCACATGAACTTCTTGAGGATAACTACACTGTCTCAGCATTTTTTCCTACCCTTTTTTTTCTACAGTGTTGAGTCTATAATAGACATTCAATATATGTTTGGAGAATAAATGAATGAATGAATACATCTGTTATATTCTTTCCAAAATTCATTTCCAGGCTGAATAATTTAGAGTTTTTATTGTTACAGTTAAAGAATAGTGCTCATTTCTAAATACATGATTCTGATTTTCTGCCAAAATTTTACCCCTTTGAGAAATTTACTTATTCATGTTCCTGGCATAAACCTTATTTAATCCTCTAAAAACCAAACTCAAATCCTGCTTGCTGCTTTTTTTTCCCTACCTCCCTCTTGTCATACAATGACCTATCTTCCTGTGATTCCATTTGTGAGTATATTTCCTGGAGAAGAAGTGAAGAAACTGCTCTTTTATTCATTTTGCCAAGCTTCTGGGTGTTTCCTACTCTGATCCTGATGCATAGGCTTCCTTAATCCTTGGTGATACTTTTCCTCCTGTGTGTTTGCTTTATTGTGTAAATTCAAAGGAGGTTTTCTAAAACTGCCTTTATTCCCCTGAAGAAGCAAAACAAACAGTGGAAATTGACTTTTTGGCTAACAGTTCTCATTATTCTTATTACATAATTAGTGACTGGAATCATTAATGCAGGAGACCAGGCATGCATGTGGATGAATAGCTTGCCTGGCCATGTGCCCATAGACATGTCAACAGCAACTAATATAATTGTAGATGCTAAAAGGAACTTGTCCTCCATTATCATTATCAGCAGTGGCAGCATCCTGTCATTGAAACCTGTACTACATTGTGTGGTCTACACAGAACCATACATACCATTCTTAATCAGTAACATTACTCCTTTGAACCCACTTAGCACTTTGAACCCTCATAATACCTTATTTCAGTAGTTACTTTAAACTGCATTGTAGCCATATGCAGTTGTCTCATCCTTCTCAATCCACTGTCTCCCTACCCACACTAGACCAGGAATTCCTTAAAGCCTGAGATTGAGGTTTATACTCTCTTTATCATTAGTGCCTCCTACTATGCTGAGAACATAAAAGGAACTCAATAAGTATTTGTGGAATTAAATTGTTTTTCTTCCATCTAAAACAGAAGACAAAGAAACTGATAAATTGGGGAAGAATGTATAAGGAATTAACAATTATAGCATCATAATTTTTTTTTCATTGATACAATGTTATCGATGAGCACATTTTAAGTAGAACAAGGTTTTTGGAAGTTCTGAGAAGTTAGAGAAAGAAATCAAAAATTGACATTTTTTAAGAAAAAACATGAACTATAGAGTGAGACTTGAAAATGCAAAAGATTCATTTGGACTTGATTTATATAATACTTTTCTAATAGTGGGTGACATTCAGCCAAAGACATAGTCTAAATGTCATTCTCTTTGCCTCCATAGAAGTATTAATTTTAAGAATCTACCGCCTCTTAATTCTCATTGACAATGTCTTAGTTCTGATCCTCATTATTTTTCTTTATCAAGATAATTGCAATACCTTCAAATGATTCTCCTGCTTCCATTTTCTTCTCCCTTCCATTCTTAAGAGATGGTTCCCCATTGATCCTAAGACAAAGTTCTAATTCCTTTTCATGGCATATGAGATGCTTCAATTTTGCCTATCAATCTATTTTATTAGACTTCTCTCTTACCATTCTCCTATGCAAGTTGTATTCTAGCCACATAAAACTTCGCAAATCTCCAGGAAAGAGTACAGCATGCTTTTTAACTTTCCACACATTTCCTCATGCTGTTTCTACAAACAAAAATGCCCATCACTTTCATCTGATCCTCCCAGGACCCAGGTATACATATATATATAATACCCTCAGTGACATATTCCCTAAGTTTACAAAGCAGAATTGATCTCTCTCCATCATTTGCTACAGATGTTGGTCTGTACCTTTATACTGCATTTGTCCTATTGTGTTAGAATTCTTTGTTTACAAAACTTACATTCTCTAAAGTTAACAGCTCTTCATCCCTGCATCACCAATACCTAGAAAGAGATTGTAGTAGGCTGGGCTGCTATAACAAACACTGAAATCTCTGTGGTCTATCATGATGAGAGTTTAAAGTTAACTCATGAAAGACCAATGTGATAGGGAAAGGAGAGGAATTTTTGTTTCACACAGTTACTCAGGGATCAAGGCTCCTTATATCTTAGGATACCACCATCTCCAACATGTGGACTCCAAGTGTGCCACAGAAATATTTAGTGGAAGACTGCATGTGGAAGATTTTTATGGATGAGTCCTGGACATACCATGCACAACATTAAATCACATTCTACTGCCATACCTTGGTCACTGACCCAAACTAATTTTAAGGGGCCTGGGAAATATAGTTTAGCTGTGTGTCCAGAAAAAAAGAAAAGAAACATGAATGTTGGAAAGCACAGCATTCCCTGTCATCCTGTGCAGTAAACAGGTGCAGAGTATAATGAAAGACATCTTTCTAATCTGAAGCCATTGTGGTGGATTCAAAGGAACAAAGAGAATAGTTTTTGAACAAGTCCTGGTTTCAGACTATAGCAATGCAAGCCACTTACTAGCTCTGTCGTCATGACAAATACTTAAAGCTCTCTAAGCTTCAAGTTCCTCATCTGTAAATTAAGTTGATATAGAGATTAATTGATGTAATACATGAAAAGCATCGGGCGCCTGGGTGGCTCAGTTGGTTAAGCGACTGCCTTTGGCTCAGGTCATGATCCTGGAGTCCGGGATCGAGTCCCACATCGGGCTCCCTGCTCAGCAGGGAGTCTGCTTCTCCCTCTGACCCTCCCCCCTCTCATGCTCTCTGTCTCTCATTGTCTCTCTCGCAAATAAATAAAATCTTAAAAAAAAAAAAAAAAAAGAAAAGCATCTGGCACATAGAAAAAGTTACTTAATAATTACCCTTATTTCATTCAAACCATTTTTTTTTTTTTCAGAATCTGCAATGTGCTAGTGCAATGTGCTAAGTATCAAGAATAAAACCTATTGAAAGTGTTCCTTACCTTTAGAGAATTTATAGACCAGTTGTTAGGGCATAATTATAGATAAGAAAATAGACCATTTAAAATATATTGTGATAGGTAGGCTTTTCATAATACAGGGTATCAAAATATCCAGTAAACAAGTGAAAAAGTACTCACATCATTAGTCACCAGAAAAATGCAACTTAAAACCACAATGAGTTCCCATTACATACTCACTAGAATGAGTAAAATTAAAAAGATGACCAATACTAAGTGTTGGCATGAAAATGGAACAACTGTGAATTTCTTACCTAGCAGGGAGAGTGTAAATTGATCCCATCACATAGAAAAAAAGTTATACAGTACCTAGTAAGAACAAACACATATCCCATGACCTAGCAATCTCACTCCCAGACATATGCCTACAGGAATGAGTGTTTGTGTCTACCATGATGGACAGGAGTATCCAGATAAGCCCTAAACTGGAAAGAAATCAAATTTTCTGGGAAGAAGCCCAGTGAATGGAAATGTCTATACCTTGATATAGATGCAGATTACACAGTATATGTATTTGTCAAAACTGTTAGAACTGCACATTTAAGATCTGTACATTTCAATATATGTAAATTATGCCTAAATAATAACAATTACAATAATGATAAAATAATAAGTGTAAAGCAGGTGCTTCCAAATCAGCAGTTAAAAGAGTCTCTTATACCTCAGTTTTAGTTGTTTTGAGGATGACTCATATCTTAAGATATGCCACAGCCCCACATGCATCTAAAGAAATTTTATTAATAACATTATCTCAATAATTGTTTCCACATAGTTAGTTATTTTTATTAAAAAGTCATCCTCAGTTTTAGCTTCTAGACAAACTAGCTCTGTAATGGCCCTCAGGAACCACCATTGTGAGTTCTGCATACTACCTAGAATATATTTTAATGCAGACCACCTAAACATACCATCAATTTTGGGCAAGAACCCAGACCACCAGTTTGAATTACATATATATTAATCTTCATAAAAAAGGTAATCTTTCTAACTTTAGTGGTAAACACACACACACACACACACACACACCAAGTAGAAAATATTTTGTTGCAAATCTGACTTAAAATAAGAGGTAATGAAAAAAATTTCCTCAAAGTCCTCTAACATACTATCTTTTGAAAACTATAATCTATTCCCTAATTATATAGTAAAATATGAACATAGTAAAAATGTTTCAAAATAATAACATAGAAAGATAAAATTATCACCTAAACTCCTAATCCCAAAGACAACCATTTTTAATCTGAGATTATCTTCTGCCATTACACAGATAGATATTCTCTTTTTAAAGTTATTTAGATAAAAAGATTAGAAGATAAAGGATAAATATCAGCAAAAAATATCAAAATTACTCACAATTCCATCACTCAAACGAGGTAAGCATCATAGACTTGATGCCACAGAAGAATTGCTTACTTCCTTTGTTGTCCAGGTCTTAGGGAGAGAAGAATGTGTCCAGGGATAGAATATTGGAATGTGGAGGATCTTTGCATCTTGCTCCATCTGCAACATAATCAATTAGAATTTTTCTTTGATTTTCCAATTTTAGTTTCTCTTTTCTGAGTTTTTGTCTTTTGCTGTTTCTATATTTTTTGTTGTATGTATTTGCAAGCATATTTTAATGAGAACTGGGAGAGGCTGTCAGGGAGATTGCCTTTTAAGTCAGAAATCTAATAGTTATAGGATGAGGAATCCCAATGAATTAGAGTAATATCTAGTATCAAACATCATAAGCGTTTCTGTAGCCTAGGTTATTAAGGAAACTAGAGAGGATTTCTAGAAAGAAAAGCCAATGTAAAAAGATTTCTAAAGGCAAAGAAAAATATGGAGAAAATTGTCCTATTGTTATTACACAATAACAGATTCTGCTGTTGGCCTCCTCACAGATTCCTGCATGAGGAAATAAAATAGATTTGGCATACTCGCACAGTCTCATTGGAATTAATCTTCCTTTCTACTTAGCGACATTTGTTTCAGATCATTAGCAACTAAGAAGGCAGTGTGTAAGCTGGCAGGGTAATTGAAGTAGAGATCCTTGGTTTACTGTTTCCCACTAAAAATCAAGGTCCAAATACTCAGGGATTCTAAAATAGAGGAAAAAGAAGTAACCTATGGGGAAAATAATGTGAGCTTTATTTAAAAAATATAATTTTATTTGATACAGAAAAAAGTTTTTTCACTTCCAAGAGAGGAGGTTGTTTGTTTTTTAATTGAAGTAAAATTGGTATATAACATTAATTTCAGGCATACAACATAATAATCTGATATTCATATACACTAAAAGTGATAATCACAATATGTCTAGTTTACCATCTATCACCATACAATTGACCCCCTTCACCTTTTTTGCCCACTCTCCAACCCCTTTCCCCCCTTATAACCACCAATCTGTTCTCTGTATCTATGAGTTTTGTTTTATTTTTTTTTAGATTCCATATATAAGTGACATCATGGTATCTCTTTCTGACTTTTTTCACTTAGCACAATATCCTCAAGGTCCATCTACATCATTCAAATGGACAGATTTCTTTTTTATGGTTGAGTAGTATTCCATTGTATATATACTGTATCTTCTTCATCAAATCATCTACTGCTGAACACTTAGGTTGTTCCCATAACTTGGCTACTGTAAATAATGCTTCAATAAATGTAGGGGTACTCATATCTTTTTGACTTAGTGTTTTCATTTTCTTTGGATAAATATCCAGAAGTGGAATAACTGTATTATATGGTAGATCTATTTTTAATTTTTTGAGGAAACTCCATACTGCTTTCTACAGTGGATGTACCAATTTACATTCCCACAACAGTGTACAAGGGTTTCCTTTTCTCCACAGTCTCTTCAACACTTGTTATTTCTTGTCTTTTTGATAATAGCCATTCTAAAATGTGTGAGGTGATATCTCATTGTGTTTTTTTATTTGTATTTCCTGGATACTTCATGATGTTGAACATCTTTTCATTTGTCTCTTGGCCATCTGTATATCATATTTAGAAAAAATGTCTATTTAGATCCTCTGCCTGTTTAATTGGGTTTTTTACGTTTTTGTTTGTTGTTTGTCATTTGTATTGTTTTTTTGTTTTGCTTTTGCTATTGAGTTGTTTATACTTTTTGGATATCAACCCCTTATTAGATATAAGCTTTACAAATATTTTCTCCCATTCAGTAGGTTTCTTTTCATTTTATTGATGGTTTCCTTTGCTGTGCTGAAGCTTTTTAATTTGACACAGTCCTACTTGTTTATTTTACTTTTGTTGCCTTTCTTTTGATGTCAGATCCAAAAATTCAGTGCTAAGACTGATGTCAAGTTGCTTGCTATGTTTTCTTCCAGGAGTTTCACAGTTTCCAGTCTTACAGTCAAGTCTTTAATCCATTTTGAGTTATTTTTTGTGTATGGTGTAAAGTAATGGTCTAGTTTCATTCTTTTATGTGTGGCTGTCCAGTTTTACCAATACCATTTATTGAAGAGACTACTGTCCTTTCCCCACTATATATTCTTGACTCCTATGCTGTAAATTGACTGTATATGAGTTGGTTTATTTATGGACTCTCTATTCTAGTCCATTGATTTTTGTGTCTCTTTTTATGCCAATACTATACTGCTTTGACTACTATAGCTTTGTAGTATAGTTTAAAATAAGTGACCATGAAAACCAGGGAGTGTGTTCTTCTTTTTCAAGTTTGCTTTGGCTATTTGGGGTTTTTGTGGTTCCATACAAGTTTTAGTATTATTTGTAAACCACCCTTATGATGTTTGGTGAAATGGCACGTAATTTTGATAGGGCTTACACTAAATCTGAAGATTGTGTTGGGTAATATGACATTTTAAAAAATATTAATCCTTCTAATCCATGAGCATGAAATATATTTCCTTTTATTTGTGTCTTCTTCAAATTCTTTCATCAATGTCATAGTTTTCAGTGTACACTTCTTTCACCTCCTTGGTTAAATTTATTCCTATGTATTTTTTTTTTCTTTTTGTGCAATTGTAAATAACATTATTTTCTCAAGCACTCTGATATTATTATTTTATAGAAATGCAACAAATTTCTATATATTGATTTTGGACCCCACAACTTTACTGAATTCATTTATTGTACCAGTTTTTTGGTGGAGTTTTTTGCATTCTCTATGTCATCTGCAAATAGTGTGGGTTTTACTTCTTCTTACCATTTTGGATGGTTTTTGTTTTTCTTGTCCACTTGCTATGACTAGCATTTCCAACACCATGTTGAATAACAGTGGCAGGAGTGGGCATCTTTGTCTTGTTCCTAATCAAGAGGAAAAGCTATCAGTTTTTCACTATTGAGTATGTTAACTGTGGGTTTGTCATATATGACCTTTATTATGTTGAAGTATGTTCCCTCCACACCTGCTTTGTTGAGGGTTGGTTTTTTTTCTTTTAATCATAAATCTATGTTGAATTTTGTCAAGTTCTTTTTCTGCATCTATTGACTATACAATTTTTATCTCTCATTTGGTTCATATGGTGTATCTCTTTGATAAATTTGCTGATGTTGAATCCTTGCATCCCTGGAATTAATCTCACTTTATCATGGCATATAATCCTTTAATGTATTGTTGAATTTGGTATGCTAATATTTTTTGAAGAGTTTTACATCTATGTTCATCAAGGGTATTATTTTTTTGCGTGTGTGTGACATACTTGTCTGGTTTTGATATCAGGGTAATGCTGTCCTTGCAAAATGAATTTGGGAGCATTCCCTCCTCTTCAATTTTTTTGGAAGCATTTGAGAAGGATAGGTATTAAATATTCTTTGAATGTTTAGTAGAAGTCACCAGTGAAGACATCTGGTCTTAAACTCTTGTTTGTATGGAGGTGGTTTTGTTTTGTTTTGTTTCCTGATTCAATCTCCTAACTAGTAATTGGTCACTTCAGATTTTCTATTTCTTTATGATTCAGTCTTAGAAGATTGTATATTTCTAGAAATTAATCCATTTCTTCCATGTTATTCATTTTGTTGGCATATAATTGTTCATAGTAATCTCTTATGATCCTTTATATTTCTGTGGTATTAGTTGTAACTTCTCTTTCATTTTTGGTTTTATTTATTTGATCCTTCTCTCTTTATTTCTTCATGAGTCTAGCTAATGGTTTGTCAATTTTGTTTATACTTTCAAAAAATCTGCTATTAGTTTCATTGACCTTTTCTATTGCTTTCTTATTTCCACTCTGATCTTTATTATTTCCTTCATTCTACTAACTTTGGGCTTCATTTGTTCTTTTTCTAGTTTCTTTTGATGTAAAGTTAGATTATTTGAAATTTCTTTGTTTCTTGAGGTAGGCATGTATCACTTATGAACTTCCTCTTAGGACTGCTTTTGCTACACTCCATTGGTTATGGATTGTTGTATTTCCATTTTCATTTGCCTCCAGATATTTTTTGATTTCCTCTTTGATTTCTTCATTGACCCATTGGTTGTTTAGAGCATGTTGTTTAATCTTCACATATCTATTTTCTTATAATTGATTTCTAGTTTCATACCATTGTGGTCAGAAAAGATACTTGATATAATTTCAATCTTCTTAAATTTATTGAGATTTGTTTTTCAACATAACATGTGATTTGTACTGGAGAATGTTCTATGTGTATTCTGTTGCCTTTCAATGGAATGTTTTATATATTCCTATTAAGTCCATTTAGTCTAATGTATCATTTAAGTCTGATGCTTCCTTATTGATTTTCTGTCTGGATGATCTATCTATTGATGTAAGTGGGGGTATTAAAGTCCCCTACTGGTATTGTACTGCTATCAATTTTTTCCTTTATGTCTGTTAATATTTGCTTTATATATTCAGGTGCTCCTATGTTGAGTGCATATTGACAAATGTTATATCCTCTTGTTGAATTGACCTCACTATCATCATGGAATGCCTTTCTTTCTCTTCTATTACAGTCCTTGTTTTAATGTGTACTTTGATATAAGTACAGCTACACCAAACTTTTTATTTTCATTTGCATGGACTATTTTTTTCCATACCTTCACTGTCTGTGTGTATCTTTAGATCTCAAGTGAATCTCTTATATGCATATAAATGAATATTTTGCTTTTTAACAATTCGATTCAGCCACTGTCTTTTGACTAGAGAATTTAGTTCATTTATATTTAAATTTAGTTCATTTATATTTAAATATGTACCTTTTGCCATTTTGTTAATTGTTTTCTGGTTGTTTTTGTAGTTCTTCTCTGTTCCTGTCTTTCTTACCCTCTTTCTTTTTGCTTTGATGCTTTCTTTAGTGGTAATGCTTATATACCTTTCTCTTTATCTTTTGTGTATTTACTAAAAGTTCTTGGTTTGTAGTTACCATGATGCTTACATATAACAACTTATATCTACAACAGTCTACTTTAAGTCAGTAACAACTTAAGTTTGATCTTTTTCTAAAGCTCAAAATTTTTATTCTTCCTCTCACATTTTATGTTTTGATATCACATTTGATACCTTTTAATTTTGTGTCTCTCTTAACTATTATTGTAA